ATTTATTTTGTAATTGCGTATTGTAATGTACGAGGGTCTGCTATATTATGGTGTTGTCCACCTCTTGGTAATCCTGGGCACCGTGCCTGCCGTGCCTGGCGGGCCGCGGGCTGGTTCGTGCCGTACCGATCGTGCCGGCGGGCCCAGGATTTCGTGCCGTGCCGTGCCGGCCATTTTCACAGGCCAGCCCACGGCACGGCACGGCCCTCGTGCCTGGCGGGCTCGTGCCGTGCCGGCCACGTGCCGGGCTGCGGGCTGGCCTGCGCGGGCTGGTGCAGTTTTCATTTTTTTTTTTTTTTTTTTTTTTTTAATGACAACATTATTAATTAATAAGTTTATAATGTATATAAGTTATAAAATTATAATTATAAGTTTTATAAGGTAACTTATAAGTTTATAACTTATAAGTTATAAGTTATTAAGTTATGAATTTTATAATTATAAGTTGAATATTTATGTTTTATAATTTGTATATTCAATATTTATATTTATATATTTACTTTATACTATTACTTTAAAATTTAATGTTTATGATTTATTAGTAATTGGTATAATTTTATTTTTTTTTAATATGAATTTACAAATTGTAACAAAACGGGGAAAAAAGGCAAATTGGACTTTGAATGTGAATAATGCGTACTTTATATTATTATTACTTGAGTTGAAAAAATTGTACAATGATAACAATGATAAAAATCATACAATGATGGTATTAAACAAAAATTGGAAAATGATAAAATTGATATTTTTAAAATCGTACAATATACAATAATTGTCTATTCTTCTTCTCCTTCTTCTTGCTCGTCTTCGTCTTCGTCTTCGTCTTCGTCTTCGCCTTCGCCTTCAAGGTCATCGGCTAGTTGCATAGATTGGGAACTAGCCGAACCCGAACCGGAAGCGGAGGTTCCTTCTTCGTTGTCGTTGTGGTCGTAAGAACGGTCTTGTGAGCGATTTTCCGCATCCAACCAATCTTTGAAACACACGCACATTTCTAGTGTTTCGGGTTTTAGACTTGTTCTTCTATCGTCTAAAACCCTTCCGGATGCGCTGAAAGCTCGTTCGGAGGCGACGGAGGAAACTTGGATAGCAAGAATGTCTCGTGCCATTGCCGCCAAAGTTGGATGCTTCGAGCTTTGTTGTTTCCACCATGCAAGGAGGTCGAGGCTGTTTATCTCATCGTCGTCCATGCCTTTGGTGAAGTCGTAACTCAGGTACATCTGCAACTCCGAGACGTCGCTTTGCGTTCTCCTGATTGATGAATCACCTGAAAACCTTGAAATCAAGTTAGTAGCTTGTGAAAATAAATGTTTGGCCTTCTTACTTACGTTTTTGGATGGTTGGGAAGGCCCTGAGCGAGGAACGGTGCCATATTTGGCTTCATAGACTCTATATAAAGCAAAAAACTGATCCTTCACATTAGTCTTATAGTTTTCTACATCATCGTCAAGAAACATGCATTGAAAGTAAATGTCAACTAACATAAATGTGTTTTCATACTTTTGCCTAGGATCTAATATGGAAGCAAAAATATAAATCAAAGGAATCTGACTATAATATTTACGCCACTTTTTTTCCATTGCTGGAAGATACTGATCATAATCACTTTGATCGCGATGATCAGCGAAAAGTTGGGCGAGTAAGCATGCATTAGAAAGAAAGTTTTGAGCACAAGGATTGTAAACAGTAGAAAAACAATACGTCATGTTATATAATAACTGTAAAAATTTCATATATCTTTCACAGTTATTCCAATCATCATCATACAAAGCATTTTGTGGAAATTTTTGGTTGTAAAATAATGTTAACGGGCCCTTGTACTCAATTGCCTTTGTTAACATGTCATAGGTGGAATTCCACCTAGTTGGGCAATCGGTTCTAATTTTTATTACCCTTATCTTTTGTTGTTTTAGAAAACTCTTCCATTCTTGGTATCTCATGTTAGAGCTATTAATAGACATAATAGCATCTCTGATTTTGCTGTAGTATGGGCCAATTGCCCGAACTCCATCCTGTACACATAAGTTAAGTACATGGCAAACACATCTAGTATGAAGAGCTTCACCGTCTAATAGTACATCGGTTAAGTTTTGTTTGATAAGATTAGCTGTGTATGTCATAGAGGTTGCATTATCAAAAGTCATAGACATCATTTTATCTCGAAGGTTGTATTCGTCTATTGCTTGCATTAAATGGTGAGCAATGTTAATGCCGGTGTGTGGGTATTCCAGCATTTTGAAATGTATTATTCTTTTTTGTAACATCCATTGATCATCTACCCAATGGCAAGTCACACATAAATAGTGATATTTATAACCACTATCCCAAGAATCGGCTGTTAAAGATACTCTACAGTTAAGGTTACTCAATTCGGCTTGTAACCGGACTTTGTACTCTAGGAAATTTTTCATTGCTGCGGAACGAACGGTTTTCCTAGAGATTCTTTTATGTTGGGGTTGTAGTGCTTTGTTAATGTAGGTGTTGAATGCGTCACTTTCCGAGAAAAGAAAAGGTTGTTCGGCGTGTACTATCATTTTTCCTAGTTCATCCCTATCCCTCTCATAGTTGTATGTAAAGCCGTATGGATGGAATTGGGAAATTTTGGGCTGGGTTGGATCACTAGCTGGTTTTGCACAAGCTTTCATGTGTCTAGATAAGTGTCCCGTCCCGTTTTTGGTAACTGCCGTGAATACACTATTACATGTTTTACATTTTGCCCATTGTTCACCATCTTTACTTAGGACAAAATAACGCCATACCTCACTCCTTCGGTTTTTCAAAAGTAGCATCTCAGTTTCGGTTAACCATTCATGATGTGTGTATTGGTTAGTAGGGGGACTAGTGGGAGTGGCAGTAGAAGGGGTAGAACCGGAGGGAATTCGGGTACTTTCTTGGCTACCTTGGCTAGAACAATAGTTTTGTTGATTACCGATATAATTAGGTGGAAATTGGTATGGTGGTAGTGGAAATTGGTTTAGTGGTGGTGCTGGAAATCCCGACGTATTATATGGCTCATAGCCCGGGGGGAAGTAAATGGGGTCATTGGTTTGACTCGTAATTTGGGGGCTCGTTGTATTTGGTGGTTCCCTAGAACTACTACTACGGATAAGTCGGCCTTTCCCCCTAGACCTAGATGATGGGTTGTTCGATGCCATAATTAACAATTAATTTTTTAATAAAAAGTGGTTAACTATAATAATAATAATTAATAACAACAATTTTAACAATAAAAATATCAATAATATTAATTAATAACAACAACTATAACAACAACAATAACAACAAAAATAAATAATAACAACAATTGTAACAATAATAATAATTAATAACAACAATTATAACAACAACAACAACAATTAACAACAATAATAATTAAACAAGATTATTCTAATAATAACAATAAAACAATAATAAATTTAAGATTAGTTTAGATCTTACAACCGTGCTTCAACGCTCCACTAATTACGATTACGAACTTTTTAATTTTTTCCGATATTAGGAAAATAATTAGAGAATTTAAGAGAATAATTAGAGAATTTAAGAAAATAAGGATTATTAGAGATTTAGAGAATATAAGAGATAAGAAGAAGAGATTGTGATTTTGTGATTTGGGAATGAAATGGAGGTGAGTATTTATAGAATTTTTGGCAAAAAACTAGCCGTTTATAGCCGTTTAACTAGCCGTTGGCCCGCGGGCCGTGCCTGCGGGCCAGCACGGCGGGCCTTGCCCGTGCTCGTGCCGGGCCGTGCCTGGGAATTCTCCACCGTGTCCGTGGCACGGCCCGTGGCACGGAAGTCGAACTTCGTGCCGTGCCGTGCTTGACTTTGGGCCGTGCCGGGCTGCTCCGAACGGCGGGCCGTGCCGGGCGGCACGCGGGCCAACCCGGCCCGTGCCCAGGTTTACCTCTTGGTAACTTAGGATTGTACTACATCAGATTTAATATTTAATATTTTTTTCATTTAATATTATTTTCTGTAATATGTTTTTATTCAGTTAGTAATTTTAATTATGTTATAATTGAATAATAGTGTACAGTACAATAAAGATGATTGTATGTTCCTTAAAATTAAAAAAATTGAATAAATTTTAAATTAGATGAAAATCGCAAACTAGATTAATTTTTCAAAAAAAGAGTGATGAGAAGTTTATTCACCTTTTTAAAAAGAGGATAAGTAGTACTACAAATATATTATCCTTTAAAAAAAAAAAAAAGAGAAAGTACTATCCTACACCAACAGAAAACAATTGTAAAAATATTATTTTCAAGAATAAAAAGTATGAATTGTCTTATCAAACACTACTACTCATATTTAACATATCTTCTCAATGAAAGATAACTTGTAAACTGTGAATTATAATTGGTAAAGTGTGAAATATTTTGTTTATTTAGGTAATACGCATTGATTAGGAAAAGTTATATCTACTGATCATACTCTAGTACAGATGCATCTAAGAAATCAAATATCTACTGATCATACTCTAGGTGATATTAGGGAGATGTTGTGGGTAGTTATTCTGATTTTAATACAAAACATTAAATATGTTGTTACTATGTGTTAAAACAAAAAAAAAAAAAAAAAAAAAGGTGTGCACTAGTTGTAAATAATGATCTTGTATTGTGCAATATGGGATAAGAATTATACTCGTAATTATTTAGTTGTCCGAAATTAGGAGACGGATTGATTAAGGAGTGCTATGATAGACAACTAAATTTATATAACCATGAGTCATTAAGGAGCAAGCGATTTCAAAACTAATTATTCGGAGATTTGGTATCTGGATTGGCCATGTAGTAGGTTGGGCGAGGCCCAAATGTTAAATCATCAAATGTCAGTTTGGACGGATACAATTAGAAATAATTAGTTCATCCATTTGGTTTGGGCTTAGCCCAAACCGTTGTTTCACATTATAAGACCTAATGTCAATTTATTCAGTCCAAACTAATTTAAATCATCATATATGAGTTTGGGCGAAAACGATTAGTAAAATTAGGCCGTCTCAGTTGGTTTGGGCTAAGCCCAATCCTTTGTTTCACAGTATAAGCTTTAATGTCCAATTATTCATTCCAAACTCAGTAACAATTCAACTCATCAAGAATACAATACACATTTCGTTACATGATAATAGGTAACTCTGGCCGTACTTATTTGAACCATGATACAACATCTCCCTTCCAAGGCCTCCTTCGCCTAGGCTTTGGGGATGAGTTCGTTTCTGGCAGTTCGATCTGCAGGTGTAGGAAGTAATATTATCAAACTTAAACCTTTAATATGATAGCATGGAATACATTTGTCTATCAACTGCTATATTGTACCTTACAGCATGATTCAGGAGGTCCATTGGTATCCCTCGCGTCTAGAGGGTGGGTTTCACCATAAGCAACATCCAACATCTGTCAAACAGAAACTGTAACTACGTAATGCGGAACAGATGTTCACTAATTATCAAACAACAGATGAGAAACATACCCCAAGTTTGCCAAATTCACCAACATCGCTAATGCGATCATCTTTGGCTGCAAGACGTAAATCATGTTTGCCCCAAACATTTATTCGAGGGAATGTCCCCCACCGAAGGGGATCCCTGATAAGCCGATCCAGGTAAAAGACCTACGGTGACAATACAAAACCATCCAAGACAGCAAAACAGGAAAATATGTCAGGATAAGAAAGCACACATCCAAGACATCAAACACCCAAGGCACAAAAAAAGAATACTATGCCAAGAACCATCACAGGAATGCTGTGCCAGGAAACAACACACCAAAATCATATGTTGAACAAAAAAACCGCGGGTTCAACATCAAAGTCACGACTTTAAAATCAGTTAAGGATATTTTGATTAATGTACTAACCACAATAAACAACAAGCAGCCACCGCTACCACCACCATTTCCTGTTGCATCCAAGCGCTTCGCAAATGAAGAGACAGAGGATAGAAATTTTGACAACACTAAGTTGCACCAGTCATACTTATCACACTCATTTGCACAAGTCACAGCAGGCAGCAAATCGGAAGATAACCGTGGCGACTGTCCATATGAAGTGAAAGAATGAGAAATAGTGTCTTAAATTCAGCCTCCTCGTTCTCTTCCCAATTACCTTCAACCGTATCCATTATAGTGGAATTGACATGGATGCCCTTGACAACATACGCACGGCCTTCGTATCTCCGGCATTTTGTTTCCCATGAATGGCCGTATCGACTAAGCAACTTCTCAACTTGCTCCTTCACATCTAGCCTCATATTTTTTTTTCAAGGGAACACACTTGCCACCATTCGGGATGCCAAGTATCCAATAAACTTGATTCGCGGACAACTTAAACTCAGTCCCCTTGGGAGAAATCAGCATCTTCCTAATGGGATCCACCCGACTCATCAACCAGTATGCCAACTGCCTAGGCATATGCATCCTAGAAGCTAAATGAAGGCGGCCAGAAAACCCTATTTCAGACACCCACCTCTTCCTTCTCTCGTCAAACTTCTGACATATTCTTCCGAATGACTCCACACGGCAAGTCAAATTTGATGCCTGGCAAACCAACAATTGATAATTTTCAAACTACGCCATATTGTTTATGAGACTAGCTGTATAACTACATATGTTTCAGTAATTTAAATTTAATGACATATTGTAAAGGATCCATGCTGTGTTGTTATGTTTATGACAGAATTTCAAACCATTACAAAATAATCATAATTCAATTCACTAAAATAAAGAAAAGAATTACATAAAATTCCCCAAATCAGTTGCAAGGTCCCACAGTCAATCTGGTCATAGTGTCTGGTTGGGTCTTCATCAAATACACTAAAAAGAATTTCAAAAGCAACAACAACAATTTGGGCAGAAGTATTATACTTTTTCCTAAGGTTTTGGGCCCTGAATTCCAAAAGTTTTAGTGAATTTTGAAATTCTTTGAACAAAATTCAGCATAAGGATTCAGTGCTTTTGTTTTTTTATTCAACATGATGTTTGAACAAGGTTGTATGAGTTGACTAACCTTTGTTCTACCTTAACACTCTTGGGGATTCAGTGCTTCTGTTTTTTTATTCACTTGACCCCCCACAATGTCCTGTTTCCAGTTTGTAACAAACACAATTCAACCAATGTGAATCATTCTATTACGAGCATTAGTATCTGAACTTGTATGAAAATATCATACCTTCTCTACCAAATTATTTTTCGACCTTGCACAACCAGCCTACATTGGACACAACGGCTTAATCAGTACCAATTTGTTCATCACCACATACATTACAAGATACAAACAGAAAGTAAATGTGAACTCATACCTTCAGCTCCAATTTCCTCTTCGACATTTACTCTGCGATATTTTGCCTAATTTACATGAAAAACAACACTCTTCACTAAACACCTACCCGACGTCAAAATGCCAATTCTGTTATAAAACGCAGAAAATTGGAGTATATGATAAATAAACGCAATTAAAGTAGCAATCAGTAGCAAACCCCTATTTTCCCTCTCATTTGCAAACAAACATAGATTGAAAGTGAACATGCAAACATTTCGTAGTAAATCAGAAATTACACATACCCACCAAATACAAATAAAACCCCTAATTTTCATCTCACTTATGTAAATCAAAAGCCAATTAAAATTGGAAAATTACTATTAAAAAAAATCCAACAAATAGGAGTAGTTCGAAATTTACACCTACTTTATAGCAAACAAATTGAAAACGCTAACAAATTAGATGAAACGCCAACACAACACGCACCTGCCAAAGAATTTACAAAATTCCACCGCAATTTCCCCAGATCGACGAACAACAGCATTCGAGACCAAATCCACAACAATCGCTATTCAACCAGTAGATGAGAAATGCAAAATTTAAAACGATTCATTCCATGCATAAGGATTCAAGTTCCGGCTAGGTAAAAGAACAGGAAACAAACAAACAATGAGGGGAGTGAAAAGGCACCGACAAAGTAAGGAAGACGAGGACACGTGTCTCATAATTAAAGTCGGGTGTCTTGGGTTGCTGTAACAGCAAGTAACCATGGTTAAGCAAGGAAAAGTAACGTCCAACATAACAGCAGTTAGGCATCAAATTCCCCTTGGACATTTTAACCCTTACTTTTGAATTTGAATTGACGATTCTGCCCTGTTATAAACGGCCCAAGTTTAGCATGGTTATTAACCTGGGCCGCCTCTTATTTATATATTTTTTTTAGTTTTTTTTTTAATAAAATTCCTATTTTTTTTTTCCGAATCTAACGGGTCAACTTGTGAAGTGTGAGGGTTAATGACTTTGGCAAAACCTATATTTTTGGGTTTTGATGGGGTAAAATAAAATAATAATTTAGATGGGTAGTTTAAATCAAATTTATGCAAAAATAAAAATTTCCTAAAAATTAATGTGCTTTTCAACATATTTATTTTTTTAAATTAAGAAACAAAGGTACACATCTAATGATCATTCTATTGCACGAAAAGATCACTAGAATATAAAAGTCTCAATTTCTCAGCAAAATATAATAGGTCAAAGGAAATTTTGTCAAAATAAACCATTTATAACAACTATTTTGTTGGAAAAAAAACTTATAAAATTTTTTTGACAAGGAGAAACAAGATTATAAAATATTTTTGTTGAAGATATCCTTACATCTCTAATCACTCAATCAACCACTAATTTACACTAATTTCTTCTAATTAGTCATAACTTTTACTAAGTATTTAATAATTAAATTGAATTATAAATAATAAAAAAAACAAAACAAAACAAACCAAAAACCAAAAACCAAAAAAAAAACAAAAACCACCTTCACCACCACCGGTCAACCACTCTCTCCTTCTCCCCCTCCCATGGCAGCAACCCGCTCCCGGCCTCCACCATCTCCAGCCGCCGCCTAGAACCCCTCACCCGCGCCGAACCCACCCCCTCCCTTTCCTCTTCACCGGCCACCCTCCTCCGGAACCCAATTCACCATTCTTCTTATTACCTTTTCTCTCTCTCTCCTCTTCTTCCCCAATTCAACATTGTTAGACCGTTAAACTTATCCTCACGATTATCAGATTATGTTCGTCTCATTTTCTTTCTCATCCACTTCTTCCTATCTTCCTTTTGTTTTCGAATTTGGCGGCGCTTTTCTCCGGCAAATTTTCTCTCTCCTCCAGTTGGGGTGGTTTTCTGGTTTGTGGTTATGGCAGAAGGTGGTATTGATGGGTGGTTAATTTTCCGGAGGAGGGTGGTCGGCGAGGGTGAGGGGTTCTAGCCGACGGCTGGAGATAGATGGTGGAGGCTGGGAGGGGGTTGCTGTCATGGGAGGGGAAGAAGGAGAGGGTGGTTTTTAAAAAAAAAATTATAAATCAAACTTACTTATTAAATACTTAGTGAAAGTTATGAGTAATTAGAAGAATTAAAGGAAAATTAGTGGTTAATTGAGTTATTAGAGATCTCAATTCAACAAAAATATTTTACAAACTGGAATCTTCTTGCCAAAAAATTTTTATAAGGTTTTTTCCAACAAAATAGTGATTATAAATGATTTTTTTCGACAAAATTTCCTTGATTAAAAGAAAAAAAAATACATAAACCAAAGAAATACGATAGTAGTTGATAATATAAACAATTGAACATTCATTCCAAATTCATAATGGATTCACCTTTTCTAACTATTTCCATCAAATTGACGATGGTATCTACTTTAGCTTCACCCACTACAACAACAACAAATCAACAAATAAAAGAAAAAAAAAAATTATTAACCCCCCAAATTAAAGTTCCCAATCGATTAATGGGAAAAATTAAACAGAAATACTCACATAATAAAATCTATCTTTTCACACTTGGAAATTTAATGAAACTTATTTTGCAACTCTTAACTAATTAACCCATTAACTAATACTGATGAAACTTGTTGATCGTCTTAGAACCATGCTTATTACCATAATCATAATTATAATTATAATTAGAAGCATTATTTTGATGTTGTATATGCCTTAACCCTTTGCTAGTAGTATCCATGTTAATGTTGTTGCTCTTCATGCTACGTGAACGTATAAACTGATCAACTTCAGGCTGCAAATCAACCGAACTCGGGGCTTGAAACTCCGATTGTGTTCTCCTATGAGACGACCCGTTAAACGAGTCTCCGGCACTGCCTAGCAAGTGGTAGCTCCGCCTCGAGCCATCGGAGAGGCATCGAAAACTATGTTGGTGTATGTTTTGCTTCTTGATTGCACGTACAAGAAATGGAATTAGTCCCTCCATGTATAATTTTTGTGGTATGAACTCTTTTTTTATGAACAAATAAAGTTGAACTTAAAATTGGGTTTGTAAGAAATTGTTTGGATATTGTATGAAATAAATGGATTAGTGTATGATGATATATATAGTGGAATAATGTCAAATAGATAGCTGTAAAGATTGAAAGAAAATTCAAAGAAATCGACATTTGAAAGAGGAAGTAATAGGATATTACTAGTTGGCCAAAGTTGAACATAGAAAGAGAACAAATAAATGATTAAAAATTGATAATAGTATGTTGGTTTTGGTGCACATGACGGGTTGAAGTTATCTTGATTTAAGGAATTTTAGTGGGTAGCCACTAAATTAAACAATTTTGGCATGTTGTATTTGCTATAAGCTATATTGTAGGGTATCTTTTGGTGTAAAACCAGCAATTTGTGCACGGTTTTATTCGGTGAATAAGTTATATGGCGTTCGCCTTAATCATTGCCGTCTTCTAGTGGTCAAGTCTCATGTCTCAACATTAAAAATCTGTTAAAAATGATTAAAATGGTAAATAAAAAACTAGTGACTACTTTATCTATTTTTAATTCATTGCAACATACAACTTTTTTTTTTTTCTTTTAGAAAATTAACTACTATTTTATTATTTATCTCTTTCACTTATTACTTGCACTAATTTTATACTTATGCCCGCTCCCTTAATTATATGACGGGATAGGCACATATTTTGAGATAAGGATAGAGAAAGAGAAAATTAAATAGAAAGAACATGCAATGAGACAAAGTCTCTATTTGCCCAATGAGTAAAATGTGCTTTATTAAAGATAGAAAAAAAAAATACAAATGAATGATCGGTGTATAAATTTTTTTCACTTACATGAATGTTTGCAAGTGGGTTAAGGGATAGAGGTATGTTATTATATTAGGATAAGGAACAATCTTAAAGGGACATTCCAAAATAGAATATAGGGTAAACAAATAGGGACAAGGGGGTAAAGAGAAAGTGTGCTCAAACAGGAAAGTGTTTGTAAACTTCCTAAATTGATACGGCCTTTTTTTTTTTTTTTTTTTTTTTTTTTTTTGTTTAAGTGTTCCATTTTGACTTTTGCACAGGTACACCACTTTAACCAATGTTTATGATATATATGAGTACATAAGATTAAACATAGTCAATGAATCATGTATATAGGCACTTGTTATAATCGTCTCAATATACATTTTCCTGATATAATCTTTTTATACTAGTGCTTAGTAATGTATACTCATTGAAAACTGAAAATATTTTTAGTCAAAGTTCCACATTAGCAAATATGCTAATCAAACTAGGGCACTAATAAATCACATGCCAGCACCAATTGTTCCGGGTGTCCTAGATTAAAACGAGTTGGTAGAGGAGCTAGATAGTAATTGTTACAATATTTGGAGAACGGAAGTATTACTGACAATCTGGTACAAAAGGTCAAATGAGACAAACAAAAGAAACCAAAAGAGTAATACTTAGAATTAAAAAATATATATCTTAATATATATTCAATGTCAAGCTTCATACAATGCAGTAACGAACGCTACATACATTTTTGGATATCAATAATAGAAGCTTAAAGGTGCAAGTCTTATTTATACAATAAAATCATGAAGTATAGATTCATATATATAAGGTTTCCAATTATACTAATGTATTACTGTATGGATGATCAGATCTGAAAGGAAAATTACTTTGAGCACATACTTGTAGCATTACATGCTTCATACCTGGTGATCCTTAATGCTTTCATCAGCGCGAAGAGTAAACTTATGGCTAAGCCTTTTCTCACTAGGAGCACCAATCACTAATTCGTGGCGTCCAGTAACCAGCTTCCTATCGCCTTGCTTATCCACAAGGCTGAAAGCTTCACACACATTTACTTTAACTACAGCCAACTCTGTCTTCCCTGCTTTCACTTCAACTCTCGAGAATCCAACAAGCTGTATATTGGGTGCTCCCTCGATCTCACTCCATACAGGCGGCTTCCAAAACACGAGCACAACGTGCCCTCCATCCATCTTCCCTTCATTTTTCACCCCTACGGCAACAACATAGTCTAACTTCTTGCAGTTTACTTCTGATACATCAATGATCATTTTGTCATCAGCCTGATTATCAGTTGGAAGAAGCAGTGTTTGGTTATTGGTGTTGTTAAAATTTTGTTCGTATGATCTTTTGACGGTTATTTTTGAGGGGGCGTGTATTAGAAACTTGATGAAAGTAGTATAGCTGAGTCCATGGCCGAACTCATAGACAGTTTTCCCAGTGAAAAATCTGTATGTCCTACCGGGAAGTCTTCTGGATCTGTCCCTCCTCATATTCATGTTTGTCATTGGAATTTGATCTACGTACTCTTTACGGTACCATGTCACAGGTGTCCTTCCACCTACAGACATCAACCAACATTAGTACAGAATTAGTATTGCTTAGGCTTTATGCTTCTCACTATGTGGAAAAAAATACTTGTAGCTTATTTATCTGAACTTATTTAAACTCCTCGGAACTAGCATAACGTCATCTGAACTTTAAATAGTTGTGCATTGACCTTTGGTAACCTTTTTGGAAATTATTAGAACTACCTAAGCTTATTTTCGTGAAACATCTTTTTTGAGGTTATGCATAAAGCCTAAGATGAAGTTAGTTTTTCTTATAGTTATGAGTCATATCAGTAAAGAAAAGTTCAAACTTACTTGGGTTATGATATCCAAACACTACTTGAGCAATGGCTTCACCTCCTTCTTGGCCTGGGTAGCCGACCCAGAGAATTGCTCGAATCTTTTTCAATTTGATTGCAAATGACACATCTATCGGACCAGCTGACATGATCACCAGAATAACCTTTCCTTTGGCTGCACTAGTGACCTTCTCTACTAGTGACTTCTGGTAGCCGGGCAATGTCAAGTTAACCCTGTCTAGTCCCTCTGCTTCAACCGACTGATCAAGCCCCATTACCAATACCACCACATCAGCAGTGGCAGCCACCTTAGCAGCAGCCTTTATAGAGCTTTTATCTTGACACTTCACATCTTGGCACCCTGATTTATAATACACTCTCTTCACATTTTTTTGAAACCCTTGTAGAGGACTAGTGTACTTGCACGGTATACTAGCATAGTTACTTAACATGGTTTTAGTGGCGTTTGCATTAGGACCAATAACGGCCAATTTTCTTACATACTTTGAGGATAATGGAAGTGTTGATCCCTTATTTTCTAGCAAGACTATCCCTTGTTTAGCAGCATCAAGAGCCAGTTTTTTGTGATCTTTCGTACATACATCAGACGGCCTTAGTTTTCCAAAAGGGTGCTTTCTAGGGTCCCCGTCAAAGAACCCAAGTCTCATGAGGACTATGTAATTGTATATCAATGCCTGGTCTACAACTGATTCCTCCACTTTTCTCTCATTGACTGTTCTTACCGTGTACTTACGTAGAAAGTCTCCACAATTCATGTTAACTCCTGCATGATGATTATAGATATAGATCATGACTCGCAAGAGTAAAAAATTATCTTAAGAGGGATCAAATAATCTTACCTGCTTTTAAGGCAAGGGCTACTGCATCCTCTGGTGAAGCTGTGTAATTAATCGACTCATAGAAGATTTGTATTGAATCACAATCAGTGACAACATAACTGGTTAGACATCCAAGAAGAAGATGTCAAATTTTAGTGTCTTTGGAAAGATTCACATTTCAAATTTCATGTGAATGCAAGAAATAAGATAAATATACAAATCAATATATTAGCAAACAAGATATACAACATTACTTCATACGACTTTGAAACTGCATACATGTATCTTAAATTAAACATAGTAGGGAAAAAAGTGTACAAACCCATTTAAATTCCATTGCTCGCGAACTATTCCTTTTAGAAGATTGGGATCAGCACAAGTTGGAATTCCATTCACTCTGTTGTATGAGCACATCACACTACTAACACGCCCCTTCTCAACGCAACTCTTGAATGGGGGCTGATACGTATCCTCCAAGTCCTGCTTGCTAACCTACAAAAATTAACATACCAGATTCAGATGATTAGCTGATTGTTGTCAAATATAGTTAAAGTTTTGCTAGTAAATATTATACCTTTGCATCAAAGTGGAAGCGATCAACACCTTTCCAATTATCAAGGTCATAAGCAGTATAATGCTTACAAGAACTAGAAACCTTGAGCATGTTTCTATTACCAGAGATATCAACCTCTTGCAGACCTCTGACATAGTTGACAGCATACTTGCTGACAACCAAAGGGTCTTCCCCTGGGGTCTCTTGCCCTCTACCCCACCTCGGGTCTCTGTATACATTCACATTTGGGCTCCAATACGTGAGCCCGGCAAGACCTGCATTGTACATTGCTCGAGCTTCAGTTGACACAACCTGGCCCATCTTGTACCACAATGAAGCATTAAAGCTTGCAGCAGATAAAATAACTGCTGGAAAGCTTGTTGCACCAGGTATTGTTCCATTGAACCTTACACCAGGGCCAGTGTTAGAGACTCCATGCAGGGCCTCTGACCACCACTCGTAGGCTGGTACCCCTAGCCTAGGGATCCCCCTAGCCGAGTTTACTAGTTGTTGTGCCTTTTCATTCAAGGTAAGGCGAGAAACTAAGTCCTCAGCACGAACAGAATAAGGTAACGATTTGTCACAGAAAGATAATCTTTTTACATCAACTTCACGCTTGTTACAAGCATATTGTTGAGTAGTGTATGGGGCTAGAAAAAATGTTAAGAAAACAAGTAAAAATCGAAGTAGATTCCTCATTCTTTCTCTTTTAATAAATTTTGTACTTCAATCTTTGTTTGAGGTACATTTTAACTTATCTAAGTCGCGTTCATTTATAGCAGAAACCCTTGGACCAGTGGTAGAGTGAAGTGACCAGCTTGAGTGAAGTAATAGTAAATTTTGGGTACCTAAAACACAAGGTTCTGAGTCTTGGTGCAATCACCAAGCAAGACTTGACTCACTAAGTAAGACTCTTACTTTATCCTAGAGGTTTATGGTTTGAATCGTGCTAATAAGTGATGTTGCTTGGACATGATGATTCTCTTATCTTTTCCCCCTACTTTCAAGTATCTGGATCGTAAATACCGGACCAAAAAGACCATAAAGAGTTAGAGGTGTAATTAAGATCATTCTCCTTATGATTAAAAGAAATGTTTGGACGCATGCTAAAGTTGTTATTTTGGCATTTACTGTAACCTTACATTATAAGCGAGAATGATTCTAATGCTTTAGGAAGCAAAAGTTTCACTGTAGAGAAGGTAAAATGGCCCTAAGAATGCTGCCTTGATGGTCCTATGCATGCGTTGCTATGGGAATTTTATTGGATGTAACTAGACTTATTGCACACTTCAGATCGCTTCCATCATGCTCTTTGCTTAGTGGTATATACATCTTACATCGTTTTCCTTTTGTTTGGGGACCTGATCGGTCATCTTCAACCTACTGTTCATGAATAACTCACCAAGCCTACTACGACCAAATGCTTGCGGAGCCGGTGAGCTGTCCTCTTGCATTAGGCTAGGTTTGGCCGTTTGGGGAAAAGTCCGGTACCACTACCTTGTGTTCCAGTCTTCCAGACCTAATCGACCCTTAGCAAGCAGTTCATTTATTGGTAAGTCATTTTATTAAGAGCTGACCACATAAACACTCTTCTCATTTTGAAATTAGGTATTGGAGGAGCTCACTGACTGTATCTTTGAGTCACACAAGATCATGCGTTTAATTCTTTTAGCTACAATTAGCAACCATGTTATACTGTGATATATTGATATGATAGTTATTGACTTATTGTTAACAATTCAACACATGATTTTAATTTTGTATCAAATTAATCTGGTAGCCATAAACTATCCCCTATCAAATACTACCTCCGGTTCTTATTGCTCGCAACAAAGGGGTATTATCTATGAGACATAAAATATTTCATTGTTGCGAGTAATAAGAACCAGAGGTAGTATGTAAATAATCCTTATGAAAATTCAGTAGACAAGAACACACAGAGTTGCTCGATGCTTGAGATGCTAGATCATTTCACCAAGGCAGGTCGATTCATTACAGCAAGCCAAAGCTTACTGCCTCTGTTTTGAGGATCAACCCCCGTGCCCCACTTGCAGGCCCTAGCCACAAAGTCAGATAGATATTACACCGATGCAGATTCTCTCCAACCACGACCCTAAAAACTGTATGTCTTCTCATGCATTAGGCTAGATAAGTAGAGCACTGCCGAATGAGGATAGCATTGCCTCACCATCATAAATGATCCACAAAATTTATAGCAAAATATCAGCGTATTATCATGAAGTTGTTTTACTCTGTTGTCGACTGGAGGAAGGATAGATTAAATGAATTTTTCAGAACATAAAATGTACTAATTAAATTTTTATTATATAGAGTCCTTTCATACGCTGATCTCTAAAGATTAGAAGCCAAGAATACAAAAGCAATAGTGATAGTTTTTTCGCTCATTTGATCACTTTTTGTTCATTCTATGATCTTTGAATAAACAATACAAGCAAATGAGCAAAGAAATACACTTGATTTTATGATGGAGGTTCTTAGACACAAGATGTCCTAGTATATTTTTTAGTTTATTTTTAAGCGTTATTAACGTTTATTGTGACTATAAAGCAACCAGATGTCAAAGCGAGAAAGAAAAAGTGGACTGACTTTCCAACAACTTTTGAACTATTCACCAGGCAATGAATACCTCAATTAGTCTCTAAATATTAACAATATGAAAATTAATTTTCGGCACAGCACAGAGAAAGCCCCACTAAAAGTTTTGAGGTTGAATAACACAATACTGCATTTGATCGAAATCAACCAACCCAAAACTGTAAAAATTTGAGTTTACTAGTGTAAACTAAATTAAACCATTGGAGAAATTCAAATTTTAACTCAAAAAAAAAAAACCCTAGACAATTAACCCCCTTGACAAGTTGACAGTAACACTAACACATAGTCACATACAGTAACAAATTGCATCAAACAAAAAAAATACAAAAATTGGTAAATAAATACATAAAACACAGAACCTATACTGCACAATATTTTAAGGAAAGAAAGAATAAATAAATAAATAAATAAATAAATAAATAAATAAATAAATAAAGCTCATATTAAATGCAAAGTTAATAGACTTACACGCGCAGCAAACCTTGAAGTGAAACTCCGTTGAGAGAGGAATGAAGATGAACTGAATTATGGCTGTGAAGAAAACAAAGCCACAGGAAAAACAATTGAGGGAGACAGAGCAGAAGCGTCTTGATCAGAAAACAAATTGATGAATGCATAGAGTTATCAGACAACCCGCCTCTTTCTCATGCATTATTTCCTTTTTCCAACGTTGCTGGCGCTGACATCTGTGCTGGTTTGGATGCTTGGTTACACCAACCTTGGTGCATCTGAAAGCAGTAAAAGTGTAAAACACGATAATTTGCAAATTTGACCCTATAAATTAATACCAAGCTGCCCTCTTGCATCTTAAATACAATATGAAGCAGGAAAAAGTATTGTATTCATAATGCAAATGGAGATACTTTTTAGCTTATTGATTTGATACCGCCAACTGAATGAGCAAAGTCAGCAAACACTCGAAGTACAAAACACAACTGTGTGATTCATTTTTATCCAACAACAATCCATTGCCTAGATTCAATCATAGGTGCAAGCATAATAAACATGTGCATTGGCTATGGTTTCAGATCCGTATACAGCATATAATTTATTGAGCCTTGAACATAGCAGCATGGCCGTTTGGGAACATTTGATCCCACAAAACCCTTGACACTGAAAAATTATACTGTTCACATGAGAAGAAGATACTAGTTTGATTGTTTCTTCGGGTATTCTCTTGCCCCAAATATGGTGGATCCTATTCTCACAATTGAGCTGCCCATCTCAATCTGCAACAAGCAAACTTGCCAAGTAAATCTTAACACCCAGTATAAAATATTGTTTATTCTTTCACATCTCAGCAACGAGACATGACAACATTTAGAATAAAGATGCTGATATAAATTAACATAGTACTAGCACAATATCACAAAGTGAAATTGTTCAATTGGATCACAATATTCTTACCGCTAGCTCAAAGTCAGAAGACATGCCCATAGACAACTCGCACTGCTCTTCTTTTAACCCAAGAGTCCTGCAAACCTCACTTCTACAGTTCGCTAATGTCTACAAGACAGAGGATTGAATTTAGTCCACATACATAAGGTCTTGAGCAGTAAGGCAATTTTTGTGCTGAGCTTATTATCACAAGAATACCTTGAAGTTTTCAGGAGTTGATGTGTAATCTAACATCCCAATTGTCATTAAGCCACAGAACTCAAGGTTGGGACAATTTTGGCAAACGTGTTTTGCAAGATCTACACATTCTGAGGGTTCAACACCAAACTTTGCTGCAAGTACATTGGAAAAGGGAATCAAAACGGATTTTAGCATGAGAATAGTTAACCAATCTGGAAATAAAAGAGCAAACTATGACCAAAAGATAATAGAAAAGTGCCCCAAACCATCCTTCATTGTAAACTGATTCATAAATATTCTAGATCATGGAAGTGACTCAGTTTACATGCTCGTAGTTGGGAAGCAACTTTCTGAATTTCATGCAAAGCAAGTTTGATTAAAAGCAGCAGAGTACTAAATTCTTGAGCAATCTTCAGCAATTTTCAAACAAATAATAAAGAGTGTTAGTCGATATCTAATGCCAGGTAAAGGGGAAATGTTTCAGTCCAAAGCATAGTAACAACAAAACCATGGATTTAATTTATTATTTCTTAACTGTGAGGTGCCATACTGCATATTTGCACAAGCATTGGCCTTTACCCTAATTTCAGTATGGACTACTAACCTAAGCTACTACGAAATAATTGATTGCAAACAAGTTACTTTAATATCTTGCAAGAAAGGTAAAACCATTATTCATCACAAATAGGAAGATCATTCTCACATGTTTCTCCACTGGTATTCACTTGGACCAAAACTTTTAATGGTGTTCTTCCAAGATTACCCACAGCACGATCAAGATGATTGGCTATCTGCAAATAAATACAAGACTTGTGAGTGAATAGTTGGATATCATCACAGTTTTCATTTACCAATCTACACTGAACAGCTATCTAGTACAATTACCATCAGTCATCTAGATGGGTGATGCTTCATTATTAGAGAAATATTGATTATAAAATGTACAGTTGTCAAACTTAGAAACTACTCCTGTTACGCTATGGAGTAGATTTCTATCAACTAAATTCACAAACACCTGAACAAAACTACAGCCAAAAGGCACTATGCATTCAGTAATAAATAAAAACCAAAACATAAGACTGAGGAATAACAAACCTATATCAAAACTTAGTATATAATTCTGAAAATTTTTTAACTTGATTCATCTCAAAACTTAACCAGACAATTATATGTTTACCTTCTGATCATCCACACTTTCCACCATGTAAAGATTTGGGACACCATCTGCAAAATGTAAAAAAAAACATTTATATATCAGCTGCAAAATGGGGGAATAGATGTGCAGAATAAATAAAAAAAAAAAATTAAGGTTCTAATAGACATATATGCATGAACATACCAATACATTTATAAGAAATATAATTAATTCAATTCCAGACACAGTTGCCGTCGTCTCCCTCCCATTCCCCCACCCTTGTCCTTCCGCCCCCCCCCCCCTCCACGCCCCCCCCCCAAAACCCCACCCTCCTCAATGGGTGCGTTTGCATCCGTGTGTGTGCTTAAATGAAAGTGAACAGAACTCAGGAAGAGAAGAGTATCTTACTTAGAAGAACTTTAACTTTGTTGCTCTGCAAGTTCCCAATGAAATGCCATTCAATGTCTTCAGGAAGCTACACGATACATAAAACACCAGCATGAGTAATCTTCATATAAGAAGATATAACGCTCATTCTGACTAACCTTATTTAAACACAGGCCTAATTTCATAAAAAGTTAAAAACATATCATCTTTGTTCTGCTTTCCCTTTTCTCACACTCTTACAGCTTATTCAGTCATTTGGCCCAACTCCTCAGGCCTCTTTAGCAGGCAGCGACTAATGACTGTCATAGTAATGCGTTATAAGTAATTTTACATTAAAAGTCTTGGTAATGTCCTCAATAATAATTCTCCACCTTTACTTGTGGGTTTTTCATTCACCTATTCACTATTACCAATATGCCAAAATTACCACTTTTTTTTTTTGGTAATGTACTAATTTGTTGTAATAAATTTTACGGAGTATAAAATTTATCAAGGACATTAAAATAGGACTTTCCTTACATACTGACTGCCTACCAGACATGCCACTAAGGTACTAAATTAAGCTAAGTACAACTTTTGCAAGCAAATTTATACTTATATGAATCTATGCTAGAAAATTTAGTATTTCTTCATCATCCTATGAGTACCAATAGATACTTAATTGATTAATAATAGCTAATTTTATCTCAAATTCAATAAAAGAAATAGAATAAAAATAAAACAGCAACAGAAAATTAATAATGAAAATGGAATGTTTGCTAAAATATGCATCCAATGTACCATCTCACTACCTATAAATTCACAACCTAATGATAAAGAAGGAGCAACTTTTAGAGGTATCTCTTAATTACCTGAGGATTAAAATTTCCGCTATTGTTGACAAGATACCATTCTAGTTTGTTGCATTGTGCATGTTGATCTTTTAAGTAGTGTGTGCACTCATACTAGATATATACGAAATCTTCTCTTCAAGAAGCGAGAGCACTTAATCAAATTTTTTTAAAAGAATAAATCTATCCTGCATTTATTCTCCTTGTTAGAACCAAATTACTGGTTGTTCTACAGTTGCAAGCTTGCAACATACACTTTCAACATATTTCTAACTAAGAAGAGCCTTCTAAACAATTCATCCTCATCTTTCTCCATAAGCCAATTAAATGTACGCCCACAAAAACATTTCATGGAAAACTAGAAAGAAGAAGTTCGAATTTCAATGCCTCCAAATATTCATTAATGGTTAGCACCCCACACTTCCCATGGCCAGTACTAAAGAAAACAACATTGTTTCCAAACTCCAAACCCAACCTATCATACATAGGTAACATAGGTCTACCAAGACAAACTCGATTATGGAGCAGTTGTTGGAACCCTCTCTCCCTACTTTATATGCTGTTCATCTCACAATATAAGACTACATGAGACATGGCAATGCATCACGGCTAGATGCAAGAGAAATATATGGGGCCAGGTTTCATCTCCTAGCAAGCCCTTAGACTAAGAAGATGCTATTAATAAAGTTATTGAAAAATCTCAATGACCACCTATCAAACCGAGGCAGATGTAGCTGATGATATCATTTTCACATATCATTATATGAATGCTTACATCACCACACGATCAATTCGCTTCCCAGCCAAATTTCTTGGACAACTATCAGAAACTGCATTGAATGGTCCACAGTTTGATAGTCAGTGTCCCAAACATTTCATGGACGCTTATAATAGTCCCTTGGATTCAAATTCATTATAGCAACCATGGGACTTTACTAAACCAGAATACATGCATTTATGATGTTCTTACAAAGCTCCAATGACAAATGCCAAACCAGTTCCCACTCCCATCGCTATCAATCCACCATTATATACGCAAACAGGAACCCCCACCCCTTCCCGAACCCCATATCCTATCGTTCACTTGTTGGCAGTCGCCAGTGCATATCTCTTAGTTGGCAAGTCAGCTTAGTGTTCCTTCAACCATAAATAGTTATGCTTATTGGACTCCCTCAAACATCTCCATCTATACCTTGCTGGAACTAAATTGCCAGTCACCTCTCACCTTTCTTCTAACATAATTGTGTACCTACATTGATGCAGATAGGGCTGGCAATAAACACAAGTATGTCCCAACAACATGTATAATTTTTTAATTTTTTATTGAGCTGTAACCCAGCTTTGTGAAGCTCCAAAAAACAACAGACCCTAGCTCATTCCTCAACTGAAGCTGAATAACTTGCCACCACAGCTACAACAGCTGAAGTATCATGGGTTCTAATTCTTCTAAATTAGCTACATCACACACCCACAGCTCCAACTACCGTGATAATATGGGCACAACATATGCAACCGCCAATCCCAAATTCCATTTTAAAATAACTCATTTCACCTAGACTACCACTTTGCTCATAAAAACGTACAAAGTGACAAAGTTAAGCATCACACATATTCCTTATAATGACCAACTAGAATGAGCCATTTTCACCTTGACTACCATCAATTTGTCACGATATGGACACAGCCTTACGCAATTCCCATTTCAAAATGGGCCATCATCGCCTTGATTACCACTTTGCTCATGAAAATGTACTAAGTAGTGACAAATTAAGTGTACAACGAATTCCTAATAACGACCAACAAGAAGAAGCATTCACCAGCCCCCTTTTCGTGTACTCTTATTCTTACCTTTAATGTCCACAATTCGACTTACTCTACCGCCATCCATCTTATGAGGTTATGAGGGCATGATAGATACAAACAATTCAATGATATCCCTTAATTATCTTCAAATTAAATACTTTTCTATTGTTCAAATAATAACAACTCCTAATTTGCATTCAATACTACTACAAACAAATCCAATCTCACAATTATTGACCATCACATAGAAATTAACATCAATTTCAAATAAACTCTCTCAAATTCATTGCAAATTGATCATACAACACCAATAAATCAATCTCAAACATCATATAAAACGCTATAAAAACAGCAGATAGCATGAAAAGAAGCTTATTTTGGAAAGAGTAATAAACCCGAAAGAGAGGATTGACCTGAGGAGCTTTATCAATGAGTTCCTGAACGTAATTCTCGCCGAAGCAACGGTGGCCGGCGTCGTAGACCTCTCGGAGAACAGAGACTGGCTTAGTTTTACTGACGGCGACGACTTTAACCTGGTCGGGACTACGGCCAGAACGCTCGACGGCTTGGCCGACACGGTGAAGAACTGACCGGAGCGCCGTCGCTGGAATGCCTTCCATGGCTGAGGTTGCGGCCATGGTTTTAGCTGGATTGTTCTTGTTCTAGATGGTTTTGGGCTTGCTTTGGGTACACAAATGGAGAGATTTCACTGTGATCAATTTTGATGGTGTAGCCACTGTAGTGGCAATAAGGGGTGAGCAAAAAGAGTGCCCTCAATTAGGGGTGAGCATGGGACGGGTACCCGTACCGTACGTACGAATGGTTCGGGTACCCGATAACCAATATCATTAAAAGTGATATCCATAACCTGAACCTATAAGTTTGAGTATTTCGGAACGGTTATCGGGTATCCTATAAAGTATCCAATAGTGATAATTAAACTTAAAAAAATAGTTATTATGATTTTTTTTAACACTAATTAACAACAATACCACATGATCTTTGTAACACCCCAATAATCTAATATATCATATAACGAATATATAAAGCTAAACTTTTAGCCAGGTCACGAGGCAGCGACACTTGGCATTCTAACTTTTCACCAAGTGTCGCGCCACGTTGAATAGGTTCAAATTGACTTCATAAGATAAAAAAGGTTAGTTTAGAATTATATTTTGAATAGAATTTTAGGATAAAATTGTTTAGTTAAAGTTTTATTTTTGATAAAATATAATTTGAGTGCCGCGCCACGTTGGTTAGATTTAAATAGACTTCATAAACAACCCGGGCATCGCACGGGGCGGGGAGTTTTTCCCCGAGTTTTTAGAGATTTATTTTTCTTAGCGCGCCATGTAGGATTATGAATTTAAGTTGTAGCCAATTAAATAAGAGATTATTAATTTATTTTACAATTAAATAATTCAAATGTCACGTTAGCAAAATTGACGAAGGAAATTTTAAAGTTTAAATTAATTAAATATAAAATAGTATATTTTGAGATTAGAAATTTTATCTAATATTTTCAAGCTAATATAATACGTAGTAACAAAAATCACATAAATATGAAAAATATTTTTTTAAAAAAATACTAACAAATCGTGCATTGCACGGGCTTCATCTAGTTCTCTCTTTAAATCTGTGAGGACCCTGAACAATATTCAAGAGAATTACTGGCGTGCTCCCGCCGCCACCTGTTCAAATGTTAAGGCTCTTTCAGAAAATAGCAGCGGGAAAACTAAAATAAATATATATAAGTTTCAAAACCAATAACCAAAACCAAATTAAATCTTACAACTTGGAACCCTTAAGACCCTTATTCAAAACTGAGACCAATAGAAATAGTATGAAAGCAAAATTGAGTTTAAATAACTTTAATTGTAAATACTGCCTCCGTAACAATTTACTCGCAACAATTACTATTTTTAGCCGTAACACATTACTCGCAACAAAGAAAATTATTTCCTATTATGGTAAGTTTTTAATGGTGAAATGACTATTTTACCCTTAGTTATTTCTGAATTTTTTTTTTTAATCCCTAAACACTACTTATCTAACATTTAATCAAATACACTTAACCTAATCTAATCTAACCATTCCCACCAAAAATAACCCTTCCCTTTCTGATTTCATTAGAAATCATTCAACTCCCCAACTCCTCAACTACCAGAATTGAATGAAGATCAATCAATTCTCCTCGTTCATGGTGCCCAGACTCTCCTTATCCTAGAGAATTCTCCAGATGAACATTATAAACCCTAGATCTACTCTATTTCCCTCCTTTCTCTCTCATTTTCGTCCTCTGTTCTCTCTCCTGAGTGAAACCCTAGTTCTCTCTCTCTTGTCTCTGTTTAATTTTTGTGAGAATGAGTTCCAAAAAAGCGAAGAAAGAGTCCCAAATTCGTCCAAAAAGGCTGAGGAATCCACTAAGTACATCGCTCGTAGAGGATCTGGTGTTATCAAACCAGTTCGTCGCAGTTCTTCTTCGTTTTCTCGTTACTCTGGAGGCAAAATTGGAGCGAAATTGTATTTTTCAAGCGACGAGGAGGAAGTTCTGGAAGTAGATCCGCTTCAGGTAGTCCCTGTTCCGGCGGAGGTGGTTGCTGAACTACCTCCTCCTGCTGTTGAAGTTGTCGGTGCTGAGAAAACTACGAAGGAAAGCCCTAAAAATGCTGCTCATGACGCCGTGGTGACGCCGGAGAAGGTTTCAGGCGACGGGGCGTCTCCACAGGGACAGAAGAGGCCTAGATCTGTCTAGAAGGACGACTACAGTGACTGGGATTCCTGCTACATGGCGTATTTTAGGGACAAGTACCCTCATGAATTTCCCCCAGATCTCTGAGCATGCAGCGTAACTATTACTAAACCCTAATTTTATGAATTTTGCCTAAATTTGAGTCCCTTTGACTGATTTTTGGTTGTGATATTCATTCCTTGTTTGATATTGTTGGGTAAAACTGTTGTTGTTTGGTTGTTGGTGTACAAAATAAACAATTGTGGTTGTTTTGACCTTTATTTATGTTGGGTATGGTTGTTGATTGTAGTTTTTGAGTTGAATATGTTGATTTCGTATTGGCATTGTTGGTGATTGCGGTTATAAATTGGGGGTGTTTGCTCGTGTGCTTATGTTGGTTGAAATTGTTGCTTTGGGTAAGGGAAATTTGTTGTTGTATTGTTATATTGGGCACTTGACTTGAATTCATTGGCTGCATGTTGTTATGGTTATATTGTGAGCATGAATTGCTTGGTGGTTTTTTGTTACTGCCTCTGAGTTGCTTGGCTTGTGTGGCTTTTTTTACAGTATGGCCTATGAATAGGTTGTTGTGGGTTGGTTATTGTTGATATGAGTCTATGGATTGGTTATTGTTGATATGAATAGCCTTTGGAATACTCTGGTTTGATGTGTGTTGATGTTGTTGCCTATGAGTCCCCACAGTTTGAGTCACTCCCTGTCATTGGTATTTTATGATGATGCTTTGAGTCCCTTTACCCACATTGCATCATAGATGTAGGTTTTCCATATGATGAAGGGATTCTTATGACTTGAGCCCATTACTTAAGGGAGCTCCAACATCTTCTAACAAAGGACGTTGTTGAGGTGCCTGTTAATGGTGGCTTATATGGTTAAACCAATCCCATCTGATGGAAAAAACAGACAATAACCAACCCATACTTTAAACACAGTGTCTACTTGTTAATGCTATGATTTCATTTGCCCAAAAAATTGTTGATTGTACAAAGTTCCATTTCAATAATAACTACCTACTAACACTGCCTACCTACTCTATTTAACATAATACACCTAACCATTACAAAACAAACAAAAACTTAGTTTTCAAGTTAATAGTTATGAGTGGCAGTCTTTGGTCTTCTGACTTGGTTGCTGATGAGTCCTTCATTTACAAAAAATTACTTGTTGTCTTGTTCATTTACAAAAAGTTGCATGTTCTTACTTGCTTGTGTGACCTTCAATCTGCATCTACTTCCATATCTTCACTTTCTGGTTGAGGTCCTATGGTTGGAACAAAGAGAGTGTTGAGATATTCCACTGTGTCTGCAATTAGTGTCCTGTCTACCTTCAAAATGTCCTCCAAAGTCCCTTGCCTGTCTTGCCTTGCTTTGCCCATATGTGGTGGATTGTAGTTGTTCCCTCCTTGTTTTTCCAATACCTTAATCATGCAAGCCTGTAGTGTGATCCAAGTGTACCTATTTAGTGTTGGATCAAACAACTCAAATGCCTCTGCCACTTTCTCAAGTAGCTCATCAATATTTTTTGGGAATGACTGGCATTGTATGGATTGAATTGCCTTGAACAAACCTAGGTCCAACACATTAAGGTCTGGTGATTGGGCAGGTTGGAAAACAAATTGAATGTTAAACCCATTAGCTTGTGTTGCTGCCAAAAACTCTTCATCTCCTGGTACTTGATGTGGCCTAGCATTATCCCATTGTATGATAATATTCTTTGATAATTGTGCTGGCCATTGTGCATGAATTGTTGGGATATTTTGTCTAAAATCATGTGCCTAATAGCTTCTTTGTTTACATTCTGAATTGCTTTAGTCTCCTGATGTGTCTATTTTATACAGTATTTTACCCCTGTCCCTTGGTCATAATTAGTAGTGTTTTAGGCTCTTTAGAGCCACTTTTATTACTAATTGGTGTTTTCTAGTGTTTTCGTAGATTTGGTTGACTTTTGCAGGGATTTATGCTTTTGGAGTATTTTTCCGAGATATTTTGGAGCAATCACGAGCATTGGAGAAACACGACCAGATTTTATAGCCCAGGGCCGGTTAGAGCCAGCGAACCGGTGATTAAGGGCTCGGTATAGGTGATACCGGGGCATTTGGACCGAGTATTCAAGACCGGAAGAGGAAACCCAGATTGGCCCGAAGAATTGGAGCCCAATCGTAGTCCAAATAGTGGCCCAAATGAGCCGCCCGGCCAAAGAGGCTGGCGCCCAGAGGTGCGCCCGGCCGGGCGGGAGAAGCTTAGGCTAGCGCCCGGCCGGGCGCGAGTTTAGTATTAGGAGCAAAAAAAGGCGCGCCCGATCGGGCGGTGCCTCGCCCGATCGGGCGCGTGTATTAATTAGTAGACGCTTAACGTCGTTTTAATTTGTTTTAGTTTAGGATTTTGTACGGAGTATAAATACTCCTCCGTAATACGATTTTAGTATCTCTTCTTCTCCTTTTTACTCTTTTTTTACTCTCTTAATTATTCTCTTAGAATTCTCTCTCTCAACTCTTGTTCTTGATTATTTCCATTAATTCCAGATTTATTTTGGTAACGATTCCTCTTCTCTTAATCTTAGTTATTTATTTTTTAATCATGTCTTATTTTATTGCTTTGATTAGTTTAGTTTTTACCATGTGTGAGTAGTTTTATTTCTAGGGTTTATGGGGATCCATAAATAATATGAAGGGGTAATTTTTTTGTTGTTAATTATCAAAGCTAGATTAATTTCCTATTGATTGGTTTAATGCTCTGCGACTAGATTTGCTCAGATCTTTTATGCATGAGTTTAACAATATTGATTCGAGATTCGACAGATGAGAATTGATGTTTAGGTCTAGTTTCAATAGGCAGGTTGATTTATAAATGGTTAGGTCGAGATTCAAAAGATGAGATTTAATACCGGTAAATTAATTTTGTGATTATAATACGTAGCGAAAGCCCTTTATAATCTGATTGATGTATGCTTTGATGAATGATTATTATATTTTACCCTGGAATATTATTTATTGGTGAACCTATGCCCTAGACCCCTTTATATATAGTTTTCTCCCTATTCTCATTCTTTGTAGTTTAGTTTCATACTCAAATATAAATATTGGTTACTTCATAATCTAGATTATTTGAGGTAATTAGGAATAGAAAGACTTGTTTCCCTGTGGAGATCGACCCTACTTCCCTATCTGCTTTAGTTAGAGGACTTAGGAAATTATTTTTGATTAGAGGATACGACTTTACCCTGTCAAAATTTGACGCCGTTGCCGGGGAGACGGTTTTATTTTTATTTCTGATTGTTTTTGTAGTCTAGATTATTTCCCTTTTGTCTCAGAGAGCGTTAGTTCTCTGAGACAAATCTCACATTTGCTTCTATTTAATTTTGTTTATGCCCAGGTGTTCCAGATCAGGTTACATCCCATTCGATCCTGAGATCGAACGTTCCTTCCATAGACAGAAAAATCTCTACAAGCAAATCCTGGCAGATTCTGGTGATAATAACAATAATCACCGCGATCCCCCAACACGTTCTAGCGATTCAGTGACATCATCAGACGCAGAATCAGAGATGACGACTCCAAAGAAGCTTAGTGATTATTCACAACCAAAGCTTACGGATTTTCCACATCTCACCCCTACTCCGGCTCTTGATGGGGTTCAATTTGAAATTAAACCTCAATTTATAACGATGATAGAGAGGAAGCAATTCAGTGGAGCCAAGGGTGAAGACCCGAATCTTCACATTGCCGACTATTGTCAATATTGCAACACCATCAGACAAGCCGGGGTCACTCAAGACCAAATCAGGGAGATTCTCTTTCCTTTCTCATTAACTGGAAAAGCTAAATTGTGGTTTAATGGTTTAAATAGAACTACACTTGGTATAACTGATTGGGAAACTCTTGTTCTGAATTTCTATAACAAGTATTATCCTACAGAGAGAACAGTCGTACTACGGAGTGCGATCCATAACTTTGCCCAAGAAGCCGATGAATTTTTATATGAGGCTTGGGAGAGGTTCAAGGATTTACAAAGAGATTTCCCCCACCATAATTTAGCACAATGGTAGTTAATCCAACCCTTTTATAATGGCCTTGGAAATTCTTCACGAATAATTTTAGACTCTACAGCTAGTGGGAGATTTATGAATCTTGATGTTGATGATGCAGGTCAGGTTATTGAAGACATGGCAATACACAATTCCCAGTATGGGAACCCTAGAGGATTCGCTAACAAGGGGAAGCATAGTGTCGACTCTGTATCCTTTTTGCAAGCTCAACTAACCTCTATTTGCCAAAAATTAGATAATCTGAGCACTGCTAATGTAGCCAATGTTTCTGCGATTAATAATAATTCTAATGAGGCTTTCTGTGAAAATTGTTGTATTGTAGGTCATTGGGAGCAGGATTGCAGGAATTCCGTGGAGCAAGTTAATGCCTTTCAAGCATATAGGCAGAATAACCCATACTCCAACACTTACAATCCTGGGTATCGGAATCATCCATACTTTTCCTACCGGAGCACTAATGTTCAAAATCCACCACCACAAGAACCACATACGCCAAAGCAACAACAGCAGAAATATTATCATCCCAATGCTAGCCAGAAGAACCAGCCACAACAACCCTCCTCATCTTTTGACCCTTCTCTGGTGGAAATTAGAGCAATGTTGGCCAATATGCAAAAGCACATGGAGAGCAGAGATGCGACAATTGATCAAATTCTAGCGCATAATAAAATTGTAGATAATCAAATTGCGCAACTCTCCGCTACCCTACAAGCCCGCCAACAGGGAGCCTTGCCGGCACAGCCTACTAGGCCTATGGATCAATCATTTGCAATTACTCTACGGAGTGGTTCAAACTATGAAGGGCCCTCTATGCCCAGAGTTGATGAACCTGTTTTATCAAATAATGCTAATCTTAATTCCGTTAAACCAAACAATGTAGTTGATAGCCCTGCAGGGCTAAAGGATAATACTAACATATCTAATTCTACATTGCAGGGTACAACTCCAGAGAAGGTGGCTAATCCAGACAAGAATAATAATGCTCCAAAGCCAATTATCAAACTTCCTTTCCCCAATCGTCAATTGAAGACAAACTTGGATAAGCAGTTTGGTAAGTTCCTGGAGGTGGTAAAAGATTTGAAGGTAACAGTGCCCTTTACTGAATTAATCACACAAATCCCCTCGTATGCAAAATTTATGAAAGAAATATTGACAAGGAAAAGGTCTATTAGTGAGGTAGAGACAGTAGCTTTCACTGCAGAGTGTAGTGTCGTACTTCAAAATAATTCTCCACCTAAATTAAAAGATCCGGGTAGTTTTTCTATCTCTTGTCATATTGGCAATCTCTTGATTGATAATGCATTATGTGATTTGGGTGCTAGTGTTAGCGTCATGCCATTATCTGTGTGTTCTAAGTTGAATATGGGTAAATTAAAAGCTACCAATATAACTCTACAAATGGCCGACCGTTCTTTCAAATACCCCTTAGGTGTTTTAGAGGATGTCCCCGTTAGAGTAGGTAAATTTTATATACCTGTAGATTTTGTTGTTCTTGATATGGTTGAGGATATGCAAACCCCAATTATTTTGGGTAGACCATTCCTTAACACTGCAGGATCAGTCATAGATGTAAGAAGTGGTAAGTTAACATTATCAGTAAGGGATGATAAAGTTGTTTTTAATCTGAACAATGCCCCTAAAAGCTCCATGACTGAGGAAAAATGTTTCAGTGTTAATGTGGTTGTAAATTATTCTAACAAGCCCCAAGCACTTGAAAAAGATCCCTTGGAGGCGGTATCTTATGTTGCATCCTTTTCAGATGAGATAGACAAATGGTAGAAGGAAGTCGATGCAATAGAAAGAGCACTCTACAATGTTGGTCTTGGTTTCGAGGATGAACAAGTGGAACCGATCGAGCAAGTTGTGCGAATCGAGCCTACGGTAAGTGTTCCGCCAAATCGAGTTGCAAGTGTTGAACACAATGACAATTTGGAGCAACGTTCGATCGAAGGAGGATTTTTAGTGCATAGCATTGAAGATCCCCCAGTCCAAGTCAAGGAGGATCCGCCAGATAAGGAGATTTGGCGTCCCACAGGGTATGTCAGGAAGCCGTATCGCAGCCTAAACACCGCTAGACCGGGTGAGAAACCACCCGATCAAGCGTTAGGCCAAGGGTCCTAGAAATTGTACTTGGTAAGAAGGTCGTGCGGGACCTAGATAAACCAGCGCTTTGCGGGAGGCAACCCGTATTTTTAATGCTTTTTAGTCTACTTTTTCTTTTCTTTTTCTTATGAGAGGAGAGATGAGGGAATTTAATGAGTTTTATGAGTGTGTATATAGGTTTGAAGGAAAAGAGTTAGCCGGATTTTGGGGACAAGAAGAAAATTAATATTTCGCCGATTTAGTCTCGGGCCCGACCGGGCGAAGCTCGCCCGATCAGGCGCGAGAGCAAGGATCTGAAAATAAGTAATTTCGCCCGACCGGGCGAGTGGCGCCCGACCGGGCGCGAAATTCGTCGTATACGGACTAATTTATCCGCCCGATCGGGTAAGCCTTGCCCGACCGGGCGCGAGAAGGGCGAAATTTTGAACCTCAAGATCGCCCGATCGGGCGAAGGGCGCCCTATCGGACGCGAGACCAGGTGAATTTTGGGCAATATAGATCGCCCGACCGGGCGCGAGAATCGGTCGAAATTTAA